GGCCTGTCTGCAGAAGTCTCTCCACTTTTCAGAGTTTTCTAGTTTGTTTAAAACACAATATTGAGGATTAAGGAAAAGTATACCTGATTACTCTTATGGAAAGTAGAAGTTGCCTTTTCCTTTTAATGCTAATAACTCTAACTATACTGAGTCTTACTTCGGAGTATCCATTCTAATGTAAATCAGAAGTGCACCCATCTTTAGTCACTTAGCATGAAGTCCCATCAGGTAGTCCTGATGCAGTGGCTTTCAGCCACAGTCAGAAAAGCTACTGACTCCTTTGGAAGAGCATTTGGATTCTAGTGTTATCCTATCCCTATTCCATATGGTTAGCAATTTGTTAGTTACCTTATCATAGTCAGTGACTTGGAATTGAATATTTTATTTTAGTAAGGTAAGAAATAATAATTTGTTGATATTTTAATTTTATTTTAGAAAATACTTACGAAACTCAAAGTGATTTTTTTCCCCCCATATAGGCATTGAAGAAAACTTTAGGTCTTTTTATTTAAAAGAGTTAGAAGAAAATGTAGATGCAGATGTGAAAAGTTTAAAGGTAGGTAATACACGAAATGCTGAAAATATTAACATGTCAAAATATATATTACCCATCATGAAAACGAAGGCATAAATTTTTAGAGTTTTCAGGTAAGCTAGTTTGGTAAACAAAAGCATTGGAATCTTTGTACAAGTTGTCACGTTGGACCCCTTTCTCCATCAAAACTCATGAAATTAGAGGAAATATAGAGAGCAATATGAAAATATTAAAAATTCACCCATCTGGGGGGACTTCTGGAAGGATAAAAAGTCAGCAGAATGATATCTGCTGAGCTATACAATCAGGGAAAGAAAGAAAAATCACTTATCCCAAAACATACTGAGGAAAAAAGAAATAAGAGAGCAAGTCTTGGACTTAGGTAAAGAAGAAACCATGTGGGACCACACTGATGTTAGTCAGAAAAGTTGGCTTCTCTCCTAATGCCCTGTCCTGAAGAACAGATGACAACAATCTTAGCCTAGGACTAAAATGGTCAGTTTCACACAAAGCATTTTTAAAAAATTGACCATGTACTGGTAAATAGAATGTCCCAATGAGTTTAAAGGATTATAATCATATAATATTCTTTATTATCAGAGGATGTTCCCTGACTATATTTCAAATATGCTAGGAATTACTAACAAAATAATTAGAAAATTTCCATGTGGCTAGAAGTTAAGAAATTACTTTTAACATTTATTGAAGTTAAAAGGATCACAAGGAAACTTAGAAAATGTTTTTAACTGGATGCTAATGAAAATAATGCATAATAAAATTTGTGGAGTACACTTTGCAAAGGAGTAATTAGTAGCAAGATATCATATATGTTGGAAAAGTAAAAAGCTTAAAATTAGTTAGCCAAGTATTCATCTTAGAAAGATAGTAAAATAAAGCTAGAGAAAATATAAAGAAGGGAATACTAAAGAAAAGCACAAAAATAAATGGCATAATCAATAAATTAATATAGGGTCAAATAAATCAATTGTTCTTTTTAAAAGGTGAATAGACTAAGATTGATAAGAAAAGCAGAGGAATGAGATGAGAAAGAAGTATTATTACAGCTCTACAGACATCACAAAGGTATTAACAGGAAAATATAAATCATTTTTTGCTAATTTAAAAAAGTAAATGAAATGGGCAAACTTCCAGTGAAAAGTAGAACTTATCAAAATATACTCAAATAGAAAACCTGAATATTCCTGTAACTATTAAAAGAAATCTAATCAGTGATCAAATAGTATCCCACAAAGAAAGTTCTTGAGCCAGATGTCTTTCTCAAATCTTCAATGAATAAATCATCCCAAAGTTTTACAAATTAGTTCAGGAAACAGGAAGGAACTCTTCCTACCTCATTCTATGAAACTAACATAATTATGACTCCTAAGCCCAAAAAGAATATGTAAGAAAAGAAAATTTTAAGTCAGCATCAATAATGTAGATACAAAATCCCAAATGAAATATAAATCCAATGAATCTATTGAACAATAAAGGTTAACATATGACCAAATCAGCTTTATTGCAAGAATGCAAGCTTAGTTTAACCTTAGGAAACTAAACTTAATTCACTACTAATAAAGGGGGAAAATCTTGTATTCTCAATAGATATAGAAAATAAGTTGATAACTACCATTTTTATTAATGATAAAAAAACACTGACAAAAGAATGGAAATTTCTGACTTGATTAAAAGCTATCTTAGCCACAGCAGATACCACACTAACTGATAAAATGTTAAACACTTTTCTTTGAGATAAAGCATAAGACAGGGATCCTTTCATGTGCTTTAGTTTACTAAAGGTTCTGGAAGTTCTAGCTATTGCAGTAGGAGCAAGAGAAGGAAAATAGAGATACAGGGTTGGAACAGTAAAGACAAATTTCTTTCATAGATGATAATGTAATACTTACCTGGCAGGGGAGATACCATGATCTCGAAGGTGGTTTCCCAGGGCAAGGCTAATCCATTGCACTCCGGATGTGCTGACCCCTGCGACTTCCCCAAATGTGGGAAACTCGGATGAATAATTTGTGGTAGTGGGGGGCTGCGTTTGCCCTCTCCCCTGTTTAAAAAAAAAAAAGATGGTAATGTATATACATAGATAATTCAAAGGAATCTTTTTGAACCAATAGTAGTGTTTAATTGGTTGTAAAATCAGAATGTGATTGTACAGGTTATGAACATCCGAATTACAAACAACTCATATTTCTTCTTTAATGTTATATAAATTTGTCCTCACTTTGAAGTGATTGAACTCACTCCTAATGACAACACATTTTTCTTCATATTCCCCTTCACTTGAGCATTCAACTTTTAAATCACTGAAAAGACTTCCAGCCTTGTTGTGTAGTAAAGTAAAACTAAATAAAAACTATCCACCTGGTAGGACTTCACCTACACATTTTAAAAGACTCAGGAAGAAAGGGACTTCACACTAGAGAGATCTCAGCATAGGCAAACTACCCAGACCTTTGCAGCAAAGACACCAAAGAAACAGATATAGATGGTAATTTGGGAAGTCTTCACTTCAAAGGAAAAGATTAGAGGTAAACCAAATAGCTACCTGAAAGAGAAAATGAACAAAGCCAGCAAATAAGGAGCCATCCAGAGAAGTAGATTGTCCCCTGGCCTGGCAGTATTGCCAGGTGAATTCCTACAAGCAATATTTTTTTGATGCAGGAACCCCAGAATCAGTTCTGCTTGCCCAGGACTGCACCAGCGCTCAGACCAATGGCTTTTGATCAGACGTGCTATCTTCCCCTGTTCCCCCCACAGCATCCCAGTGACTAGAAGTGTGGCCATCCTCCATTCCCACCCACCTTCTGGTGAGGGGCACTCCCCTCTCTGTCACCTTGCTCCACTTGAGGTTGGAGGCACATCCTCATGGATGGGGCATCAGGTGTACACTACTCCTGGGTTTGGAGTCACCTGCATGCTGCCTCCTTATGATGGCCTGCGCTCAGCCACTTCCTAAACTGGCAGAAACACCGTCCTGAACCATTTGTCCACAACCACTTCTTAGACATGAAGAAACTGCCCTGAAGAGATGCCCCATTCCCCACAGCATCCTTAGCCAGTAGGAGTGCCAACCCCTCACTTCATCCTACCACCCCGCTTCATTTTTTTTTTTCTTTTTGTTTTTTTTTCTTTCTTTTGTTTTTTTTTTTTTTTTTTTTTTTTAGTTTCCATTTTTCTTTCCCTCTTTTTTTTCCCAATTCATTTTTCTGTGGTCTAGATTTTTTGTGTTTTATTTACTTTTTTGATTTTGTTTTTTTGAGGTTTCATTTGCTTTCTTCTTTTTAGTTCATCCTTTTCAGTCTCGCTAGTGAGAGACAGCAAATGTACCAATGATGCTTAGCCACACCTATACCTCCTATGTACCACTCTCTGAGAGAGTGCCACTGTACCCTCCTTCACCACCTGAGTGGTGATAGAGAGCAGCCAATACCAAGCTATGAACGGCTGTACGTGAAAAGTAGAAGAGAATTGTATGCACCCCATGCTCTGTTATATCCATCAAGAGACTGGAGGTGAGCACCTACGTGCTGCCAATCAAACAAGGCCAGTAGGACAGCCACCCTACTTTCTTGGATAGATCAAAACAAAATACAGCAAATAAAATAAAACCTGAGTGAAAAACACCAATATACAATGACTAATTAAATACAAGTACTGTATACCATCACCATGGCTTAGAAATGACAACCTCAATTTGCACAAAGAAGAAGTTAGTATAAATCTTTTAGGTCTCGGTTTGCTGTTTTTCTGTGGTTTCTAGCTTGCCGTATTTTGTTTCAGTTTATTCTTGTAGTATTTTGCTGAATTATTCTAGAGTTAATCTGCTTTTACCTTGATCTGCCTCTCAACCCATTGAAGGTAACTAAATTTAATTTCTTTGACTTTTATATCTTGTATTTACAATGTCATTTCTTCCTCTGGAAAGGTTTTTAGCTCTGTACTTTGGTCATTTGTTTGGGTCTCTAAGTTTTCAGAACTAGATAATGCATTGAAAAGGGTAAAGGAGTAGATTTTTAATCTATGGAAGCCATAATTCATGGCATTGGGGACAAATATCTTAATACTACTCTGTTAAAGGAACCATCAAAATAATAAAAAATAAAGCCTAAGAATTATGTGAGACATCATCAAGATGTCTGATCAAACTTGCGTATCAGAAGTCCATAAGAAAGGATTTTATTTTGATAGAAAAAAAAGGGAAATGGTCAATGATTTGTTGGAGAAAACCTCCCTAATAAGAAAGATAGGACATGTTGTTAGGAGAGCCCAGTCTCAGGAGAAGGATATCAGGCTAGGTAGAGTAGAAGGGCAGTGAAAAATAGGAAGGCATCCTACAAAACGGGTTGCTACAATGACTGCAATAATGGGCTCAACCATTAGAACAATTATGAGGATGTCGCAAGGCCCGGCAATGTTTCATTCGGTTGTACATAGAATCCCAATGAGTCAGCGTTGACTTGACCCTTAACAGCATTTAAGATAAAAAGTTGTACAGTCAAGGAATTCAATGAACCCTAACTAGGATGGACTTCAAAAGGAAATGAGCAAGACATCATATAATCAAACTTTCCAGCCAAAGACAGGTATGAATTCTAAAACAGTTGAGAAAAAAGGAAGAGCTACATACAAAAGAATGTATGACTAGGCTTTAATTTCTCAGCAGGTACCATGCAGACAAGAAAGCAATGAGGTGATAGTTATAAAACTCTGGTATAAAAATCATTTGCTGACTAATAGTAATATAGTCAACAAAATTGCCCCTCACAGGTGATCGTGAAAAGAGACACTTCTAGTTAAAGAGAAATTATACGACAGGGAATTTGATGGACAGAGAATCAGTGACAATAGACAACAAACAGTGATTAGTACAAATGATAAAATTACTCAGAAGTCAACCTCAATATAGAATAAACCTACAAGACTGAAAATAAGGAACCAGATACATCAATTTTGTAAAGAAGGGCAGCTACAAAGCAAGAGGAGGGAATAAAGAGTATAGTTACAGA